GGCGTGGTGCAAAAGGGTCGGGGGGAAAGGCGGCGGGCGCCGCGGGGGAGGCAGCCGGGCGGCGCCTTCCCACTAAGTGGTTTTTCGCTCACGGTTTTCGTTACCACGAGCATGTGTTGTTTTTTTTTGTTACTTGTATTTTTTTTATTTGTTGGCTTTTCTAAAGAGCACTTGATGTTTCTTTGTTTTTTTTCGTTGTTTTCGTTGTGAAACATATATTGTTTTCTCTTGGGTTTGTCGTTGTTTCGCTCCCCCCAAAAAATCAAAAACGAGTAATAAAAAAAGTAAACAGAAAGTAAAAACAAGCCTAGCAGATATCGAGATGCCGAGCATACCTTTGGTTGCTGAACTCGGTGCCAAAAGCACTGAATTTCAGCGTTTGCTCGATACGACTGAAGCACCAGAAGCTGTGAAGAAGAAGCTTCGTCCGACCATGGACCCAGAGGAACTTTTCACGTCGCAGGATTCCCGAATTTTTGTGCGATGTCGTCCTATCATACCCTTTGATCAGGAAGATATGAATAACAAAAGCATTATTGTTAAAGTGGAGGGGCGTCGTGACCTTGTTGTAATGGCTCCGAAAATTTCCTTAGCGGGACAATGCCTACTTGAGCCCCATAGTGTGAATCTCGATGGTGTCTTTGCTGGGACGGATGATACAGAAAAGGTATACAGGGAGTCGTGTTACCCTCTCGTAAACTTATCGGTTGAAGGCGCATCTACTTGTGTTTTGTGTTATGGACAAACAGGAAGCGGAAAAACGTACACGACAACGGGTATTCTACAACTTGTGTCGAAGGATCTGGCTCCATATTTCGCCACACATGATATATTCATTACGGTCATTGAGATCCGGGCGAGCAAAAACATTGATCTTCTTACAGGCACCGATGCACAGGTTGTTGAAGATGTATCTGGAGAACTCAAGATCCGTGGTGCCGATGCCTTTGAATGTTCTAATGAAGAAATGTTATGGGCAGCTTTTGAAGAGGCAGCTTCACAGCGAATGACAAAAGCAACTGGTCGAAATGAGGCATCTTCGCGTTCGCATATGGTGACATGCATACGAATTGTTTCCAAAAACAGCACTTGGGCAAAACCTGGAGAGCTTTTTATAGTCGATCTGGCGGGGAGCGAAAACACAGCCGATAGTGCAACACATGATAAAGAACGGCAAATGGAAGCCAAGTTTATCAATACTTCGCTGATGACTCTAAAGGAATGCATTCGTTCCCGTGCCATGGCGGCCACGAGTTCAAATCACTTGCATATTCCATTCAGGAGGTCACCCTTGACACTTTTGCTTCGAGATTGCTTTGAAATTGCCGTGAGACGGCCAACCAAGACGGTGATGATAGCATGTGTCTCACCTCTATTAAGAGATTCCAGGCACACAATTAATACTTTGAGATATGCAGCCCTACTTGCGGTATCTCCACCAGCGCGCGTTGTTGCTGATGACCCCGACGATCCAAATGGGTTTGACAGAAAACAAGCACTGGAGTTTTTGTGTCAGTGTTCAAGAGGAAGGATCACAGCACCCGAGTTTATTCTCCCCGAAGGAGACGGACGCACTTTGGTTCACATTCCAGAAGCAGAGTTCATTCGTCGTATAATGGAATCGCACGCCAATATTGGTGAAAAGGGAGCAAAACAGATATATACATCAGTATGGCAGAAGGTTGTCGACGCTAGAACAAAGGGCCGAAAGGTTATGACAGCAGCAAAGAAGGCGCCCATCGGTCCAAGATGTGCTTATTCAAGGAAGTGAAGTAGTTGCAGTAACAACTTCTTTACGACTGTTGCTTTCCCTTTTTTTTCGGCCCATTCTTATTCTCTAAGCAACGGTCTGGGCGTAGATGACGTATAAAGTTCGCACAACGAAAGAAAAGAAACTCGGACTTTATCACAAACAAACGAATGGAGGGCGGAAAACTTAGACAAATTTGTACACAAACAAACTATATATGTAGTTCTAGATGCTTACGATAATATATGATTGTGTGGTCATTGTAATTTTTTTTCTAGTTCTACTGCGTATGATACTTGTTTATTGTTAATATTGTTTTTAATTTGGGAAATTTACAGTTTTTTTTTCTGAGTTGGATATCCATTAATAATCCTTTTCTTTTTCGTTTTTTTTTTCTTGTTGTTTCTTCTTTGTCTCTTTTTTTTTGAGTGTAATTTTTTTAGTGTTAGGACAATGCGGGCACACCTATTTATCATTGCAGTTCTCTTTTTGAGTACCGTGGCGTTTGCAAATGTTATAGGAATTGACTTTGGTTCCGACTACATTGAAGTTGCAGGGCCTCATAGTGGGAATACTGTTGATATCGTGTTGAATGAGCAGTCACATCGAAAGACAGACAACTTCATCGGCTTCAGGAACGGCGAGAAATATATTGGGGACCAGGCCAAAGCCTTGGCTGCTCGATTTCCTTTGAATTTCGTGACGATGATCAATCAGCTCATAGGGGTTACATATGACTCTTCGGAGTTTGCGGATTTCAAGAAGCTGGACTGTGAATTTGAAACTCACCCTGATGAACGGAATGGTGTTGAGTTTGCTTTTGGTGATCAGAATGGAAATTATTCGGTTGATGAACTATACGCCATGATGCTCCATTATTGCCGAAGTATATCACAAAAAGACGGAGTGATTGACCCCAAAAATGTTGTGATTACAATGCCGTTTCACTCTTCATTGGGAAAACGACAAGCTGTATTGGAATCTGCCCGTCTAATGGATATAAATGTTTTGGGATTAATGCACAGTACTACAGCCGCTGCGCTGTATTACGGTGTTCGTCGCCGAGGATTTGGAAACAAGACAATTCATTTACTTGTATATGATATCGGAAGTACTCACACAGAAGTCGGTATTTACAAATTCACGCCGCCAGAGACGCAAACTGGGAAGAAAACAAAGTCCTCGGATAGTTTTGGTACGCTAACCACGGTAGCTGTTGTGGACGATACATTACTGGGCGGCAGAGCTTTTGACTTATGTATTGCAAGAGTGATAGAAGCTGAGGCCATGGCTAAAATGAAAATTCCTGCAATTATTGGTGGTACAACTTTACAGCTGCGAAAATCTCAGTTTTCATTGCTTCGTGCGGCTAAAAAAGCTCGAGAAATACTCTCCGCTAACAGCAAGACACCTGTCACTGTTGAAGGTATAGTTCCAGACAGTGATTTTCACACTGAAATATCAAGAAAAGACATAGAAGAGAAATGTACTAAACTGTTTGAACGAGCGCCAAATATTGCAGAGGAAGCCATATCGAAGGCTGGATTAACATTGAATGATATTGACGCGTTTGAAATGATGGGTGGCGCTTCGCGAACTCCTAAAATTATAGCTGATCTTTCTGCCTTTCTCGGTAGAGAGGTGGACCGGACGTTGAACTCAGATGAAGCAGCAGCCATAGGTGCTGCTTACTATGCCCTTCGACTCTCATCCATTTACCGTGTACGCTCTTTTCGTGTGATGGAGCATATACCATTTACCTTTTATTTTGGTGTTATACCCACACTAGCGAAGTCTCCTGGTTCAAAACGAATACTTGTTGAAAACCCTGTTATAGGTTCTCGAAGAAGCATCACTCTTAACCGAACTGATGATTTTAGTATTCAGCTTTTTGATTCTAGTGATTTGGTTGGGGAGGTCGCTGTAACGGGTGTGAAGGCTGCGTTGGAGCAAACGCACCACTATATATCAGAGCTTCAGCACCCAAACAATAGTCATATTGTTCGTATTCAGTTGCGCCTTAATGAATCTGGACTTTTTGAGGTTGAAGAGGCCGATGTCATTTACCGTTATGCAGCAAATGTATCAACTAAGACCAAGGTGAATGTTTCATCCAATGAAGAGAATATTACTCACCAAAGTGATTATTTGATTAAGATGAAACGTAAGGTAGTGCCCATTTCTGCAACAGTGAGTTTCACAAGGCCTTCACCGTTACCAAGAGAAAAATTCCGTCTTGTAAAGGATAAAATATTTCAATTGCTCGACAAGGAGAAGAAGAAGCACGAAGCTGCTATTGCAAAGAACAACCTTGAAGCGTATGTGTTTTGGTCAAAGAGCGATGGAGTGTTGGAAAATTCTACGGCCTTGGCTATGTTTACTTCAAGAGAACTTGATGAACTGAAAGCCAAGTTGGCAGAAGTACAGGAGTGGCTTGAAGACGGCGAGGGGAGTTATGAAACTTGCGGTAAGGAGACGTATGAAACGAAATTGAACGAACTAAAACAGCTTGTGCGCCAGCGATCACAAAGCACCAAAGACACCCCCGCTCCAGAAAGCGGCGATGATGGTGTTAAAGGCGATTTGTGATCTCTGGAAGATGTTAAGCCCTTCTTGTATTTCTCTTGGAGTACTGTTTGAAAGAGGGGAGAACGTTCAGGTTCTTGAATACAAACCATAATGTCTTTTTGGCAATGCTCTCTAAGGATTTTATATTATTATTATTTTGGTTGGGGAAGGGAGATTGTTGTGTTTTTCTTCTACTTTTCCCTTCTTTTTTTTCTATTTTTTTTTTCTCATACTTCTGGATAGAAAAAAAAACCACATGATGCGCCGCGCTTTTTTACTTCCTTCCACGATCGTTGCTGCTTCGGTCCGTTTCTACGGTACACGCCTTTTCACGGATAGCCATGAATGGGTGGAGCATGGGGATGGTATTGCCACTGTGGGAATAACGGTTCATGCACAGGAGAGCTTAGGTGATGTGGTATATGTTGCACTTCCTAATGTAGGCGACAAAGTTGAGGTGAATGATGTGCTTGGTGAAGTGGAGAGCGTCAAGGCTACCAGTAACATTTGCTCCCCAGTCACTGGTGTCGTTGATGCAGTGAATGAAAAAGTGAAGGATGAACCAGGCCTTATTAACCGCTCTGCCGAGGGTGACGGATGGCTCATCAAGGTGAAATGCAGTGAAATTCCTGCGGGACTCATGACTGCTGAAGACTACAAGAAATATATCGAATAGAAGGCTGGGAATTTCGTTTACGAATCAAGGGCAAATGATATTCGAAGTCACCACTATATATATATATATATAGTGGTGACGATGAAGTGCTATGCACACCTACATAGTGACAAAGCTTGGGGTGTAACAGGGTATGCTCATATCTTTCTAGTTATATACCTTTTTCGGAATTCTACACATGGACATTTACCTACGGGGCACTATGAACGGAAACGGTTTTTTTTTTTTTTGAGGGAAACACGAAGTTGTGTTTCTCTTAATTGGATATGTTGAGCGATGAATTGAGGAAATTGGTGCGCCTAAAACATAGGCTCTACATCATTCCTGTAGAATTTTTTACATGAATTATACACTTTGTGCTTTTTTTTCTATTTTATTTCGCTTGTTTTATTTAGCTCATCCCAGGAGGTGTGGTACAGATATTATGTCTCGTCTCGAAGAGACACGGCTGAGCACTTGGAATACCAATCTAGAGAGGCGCGCTGCCGCTGTTCGTTCTCGTCGATCGAAGTTCGAAGATAAGAAGGCCGTCTGTATTCAACTGGAGGCCTCATTGGTTGAACTTTCCAATGAAAATGATGCCACAGAAAGATTATTGGTTCAAAAGGAGCAATATGTGGCGTCTCGTAGGTTCACCCTGGAAGAAACCAACACGCAACGCAACGCACAAATCAGTTCATTAAATGGAGAAAGAAAAAAAGCCACAATTGACGCGGAGCGTATTGAAAACGCATTAGAAAATGAGTGGCGTGTGTTAGAAGATGAGGTGAAGGTAGCGGAAGTTGAACACTGCCAGCGAATGAACCGGATGCAGGAGCAATTGGATGAACTTGGAAAACAGGAAAACGAACTCGTAGAGAAACTCCGACAGCTTCATGATGGTGAGTTAAGGGTAGAGAATCAACTGCGCCAGTTGCAGCAGAAGGAGAAGCAATTGAAGTCGTTGGCCGAGGCGACACTGCAGCAAATGAGGGCCGAGCTACGCGAGCGTGAGGCTCTCGTGAATCAATAACGAAACTAGTTACTGGCCGTCATTATCTTTGTGTCTGAGTTACCCTCTCTTTTTTTATTGCCCATCATTTTTTATGATAGTGACAGCGACTGACATTTCTGCACATACACACACATGCACGTTCACAGATGTGTGTATTTGGGGGAATTTGTGGAAAGATTCTGTGTGTCCAAATGGTTTCTCAGTAAAGTGCTGGCATCAATGGGTTTCTCCCATTCTTGATCGGTCCAATCGGAAGCTTTCGAGTAGGGTCCAGAGGAGAATTTGACTTTACCATCCCATCCGGTCCTTAATTCCCACCACGCGGCGGGGTCTTCAGAGGTGCGAAGCCCTAACGCTGCCCTTTCATAGGTGGAATGTTAATTTGATGGAAAAATGGTTCTGGGTGGGGAACACTCAATTGTCTCATTCTGAGAGTACAGAGAATAATTGATATTTTTTTTTGGGGGGGGTGAAATGTTCCAGATTCTCCTCTTTTTTTGTCCCGCATCAATTTCAGAAATAATAGTGTTTATGGAGACGACTGCATCAAGAAATATTCTATATTGAACCGCTATGGTCAGCTTGGTTGAGGGGGGGGGGACACGTCTTTGTTTCGTTTGTGGAGTGGAAGACATGGACAATGGCGTTATTCAGATACCCTGTGATACCCACTACACCTTTGCCGTGACTCCATGTGGTCAGGTGTGCGAATGGAGACGGAATGGATTGGATTAGCTTGCACTTTTGCCACCGTGCTTGGATCGCCCCAATTTAGTCACTAGCACCTTTAGTGAGCGTATCGCGAAGGTCGCGCGTGAGAATGCAGATACTTTTTTTTAAAAGATTTTCTTGGGAAAATTGCAGCTGTTGTGCGGGTTCTTGTGGACAGCAAGGGGATGGCATGCATCATGGCGAATATTTTGGTCTTAAGTGAGTTCTTTACGGATGTGCAAGTAATATATTCTCTGGTGCACACACATCATTTTGCCATCAGTACCGACGGTGCTCTTTAGGCTTGAGAGAGGGAGAGAGAATGACAGGCATCTTGGGCATAAGGTCACGGCTTTCAGTAACGTTGGCCATACCAATCTAGCATTTCGTTGTCTCACTACAAGTACCCATCACTTGTGTAGTTGCCTTGGTGAGTTTTAAGGTACATGCAAACACAACAGGAGGAATATTAGACTTGGGTAGCAATACCAGTAGTCAGCTGAGTATAAGTGATTGTGATGCTTACATGTGGAGAACTATACGGGGCGTGGGCTGTGCTCATGAAGTCGCGTCTGAGCACCATCTCATAATGTGCTATTGGCTGGAGAAGAATCGGCACATTGTGTTTTCTGGTGAGATGCAGTCATCCACGTTACTAAATTTGGCGGATCGTGACGCTGAAGGACGAAGCATTCCTACCAGAAGAAACGGTGGTAGGCACATGCCTATCTACGAACAAAATTTCAGCGGTGGTGTCGGCGTTGTCGATCACGCGTTCGTTAAGAAACTCACTCGAGTTCCTCTTCAGTTTAAAGTGACAATTGTCAGTGTCTCGTGTGGTCGGAAGCACTCATGCTAATGCTTTTTTCCAGGTGTTGGTGCGTGGTATGAAGCATGTGGTGTCCACGTGGGATTCATTCGCCGTCGACGGAACTCTCGCGAGAGAACCACGCACAAGAACGAAGAGAAGGAGTAACGCTCCCTCTGGATGTTTGCGTCTCGTCACCTCAGTGGTCGCCTTGGTGTGCGGGGTGATACGTGCCAAGCACCATTCTCACACAGTCAGTGAAGACTCAAAGAACGCATTCAATTCAACATTTGTGTGTATGTGTATCTGTATGTGTGGGTGAGCGTGCGTGTAATGGCGTCTCCGGTTTGTTGTTAACCTCTTGTTTTCTACCCCTATCCGTGACGGTGAAGGAACAATTATAGTTCAACACACACACACACAGTACGAAGAGCAGGTGAAATCACACTGGCACGGAAGAAATGGGTGATGATTCAATGCCGATTTGTGTAGGCATCAATGGTTTTGGACCAATCGGCCGGGCCGTTCTATTCTCGTCCTTCACCGACCCTCTAGTGAATGTGACCGCTATCAATGATGCATCCACGAGCGTTGACTACATTGCTTATGTGGTGCAGCGTGAGAGCCCTCTCTCCACAGAGGAGAGGGCCTCCGTTATTGTGGTGGGAGACTACGTATGCATCCAAGGAACACACAAGATTCGCGTCACGCAGAAGCATGATCTTGTAGAGATTGGCTGGCGCGAAGCGGGTGTAAGGTACGTGGTAGAGTGCAGCGGCCTAAGCTCCACGCGAGAGCGATGCTGGGGCCATATCACTGGCGGGGCAAGCGGCGTCGTCATCGCGGGGCAAAGCGCGGACGCGCCGACTGTCATCATAGGCGCAAACGAGACGGAGCTAAAGAAGGCGTACCCAGTCATTTGTGCCGGTGCCCCGATCGCCGTGGCTCTCGCTCCTCTCATTCGTCTTTTGCACGAGCAGTATGGTGTGGAGGAGTGCTCCTACACAGCTATCCACGGCATGCGGACGGTGGAGCCCACGGCAGGGAGGTCTAAGAACACACAGGACTGGCGCCAAACGAGGGCGGCGGCCGACGCCATCATCCCGTACAGCCAAACCGGAAATAAGACGTTGGAAAAGATCTTCCCGTTTCTCGCAGAACGAATATCAGGAAGCGCTTTCCAGGTCCCCGTAACAAAGGGATGCGCTGTGGACATGCTGGTGCGGTTGGCCCAGCCTGTTTCTAAGGAGTTGCTGGATGGCACTATCAAGGAGGCCGCTGGAGGTCAACTCAGAGAGGTGTTGATGTACTCGGGTGCGGACCTTATTAGTCGTGACTGCGTACCGAACGGCAAGCTTTGCTACGATACAACGAGCTCTCAGTGTTTGCGTGATGGGGAAGTTCACAAACTATTGTTGTGGTTTAACTTCGACGGCAGTTACGCAAATCGCCTTCTTTCCCTGGTTCCATTCCTGCAGAAAATGAACGCCGCGGAGGAAATGTAAATGCGAATTGGAAGGTCCTATTTCCCGAATTGTGCGGGGATATGGGCGTCTTCAACATGTATAATAGCTTCTGTTGAACGCCTCCTGGTGGTTTTATAGTGATTCAATACACCATAAAGTCATGTTACCATTTTATTCATTTTTTGGGGGGGTATTTATCTGTGCGCACTTTGCCATTCTACTGCTCATGCCCTCTCTATGGTGATGATACTTTTTTTTTCTCTTTTCCTGGCAACCTCAAATGCAAAACACCCCTCACACACACACAACAACAACAACAACAATAAAACGAAAAAGGAATCGTTTTTTTTGTCTGGCTCTCCGCACGCCTGATTTCTCTCTCAATGGTTGTGTACGCTTCGGTTTTGCAGGCCTTGATGGGCGCGAATCCATGGGTGATCATCGCCAGCGCAATCATTCAGCAGGTTTTTGCCTTGATTTGGTTCCGCTTTATCGTCAAGACGGTGGCGGACTACTACCTCGCTGCAGACAAGGGTGTGCGGAGGGTAGAGCACATGGTGCACCGGTACTCCACTACAGTCTGCAGTGTTGCCACGCTTGCTGCGGGTATCGCTCGATCTATCGCTATTCTCGCGATAGTGTCAATTTTCCAAGGCAGTGCTCTGACAGACTACCAACAGGCCGGCATGGTGGTGGCAGCGCTCGCATGCATCAACCAGCACCAGTTCTTCTGGAGTCAGCGCCCTATGCCGCTTCTGCTCACAGACGGTGGCTACGAGGTAGCTGCCGCTCTCCTGGCGTCTGTGTCGTGCTTTCTCATGCAGAAGTTCGTCTTTTAGATGGGGAGTGAAAGGTCTCCTCACGTTGTTCCTTTGAGGTATCACCGTAAAGGGGGCACCGCAAAAAGTGCACTTTCCACCACATTCCTCTACTCACTGACTCTTCAGTGAAGATGAAATGGAGGGGTATACCCTGGTTGGGCGTTGCGGGATAGAGCGGTAGGTTACCTTTTTTTCTTCAGCGACAACTCTTGTATCTTCTTTATAGTCTACAATAAAATTTCACCCCTGTTGATGGTGTGCGGAGCATGAATAGATGAAAAGTGCGTTTTTGCACTCACTTCTTTTCCCCTGCACGTAATCACACATTGAAGAAAATGATGATGGTGGTGGTGGCAACAAGGAAACACCCACTGTAATCTTACCACGCATTATCTCCGTTTTTTTTTTGTTTGCTTTGCTTTTTTATTATTGTTATGTAAATATGCGTGCTATACTAGAACACAAGCGAGCAAGGTCACATACAGGCAAGGGGAGGAGCACATGGGGAAACACTGTTGGTTTCAGGTGTCAATCGACGGCAAGCCCCTGAGGGAAAAGATTGTGTTTGAGCTCTTTGACGATGTCACGCCGAAGACATGTGCCAACTTCCGTGCGTTGTGTACAGGCAATGAGGGCAAGTTGGTGGAAGGAACGCAAATTCCAATGACGTATAAGGGCAGCAGTTTCCACCGAATTATCAGTGGTTTCATGGTCCAGGGTGGCGATTTTACAAAGCATAACGGCACAGGCGGTGTGTCCATTTACGGTGAGCGCTTTGACGACGAGAACTTTGACATGCCCTGCGATAAGGCTGGCTTGTTGGCAATGGCCAATGCCGGAGAGAATACCAACGGTTCTCAGTTCTTCATCACTGTGAATCCGGCTCCCCACCTCACTGGGCGGCACGTCGTGTTTGGCAAAGTGGTGCGTGGCATGAACGCCGTCCGGGCGCTGGAGCACGCTGAGACCGGTGCGAACGACAAGCCTGTAAAGCCGTGCGTGATTGTTGACTGCGGTGAGGTGGACACCCTCCCCGAACCGGAGCCGCAGGTGGGTGGCGACACGTACCCCGACTACCCCGAAGACTGTGCCCCCGCTCTGAGTGATGTGGAGCTCCTCAATGTGGGTGAGGCAGTGCGGCAGATTGGTAACAATTTGTTCAAGGGGGCTGAATACGAAAATGCGACGGAGAAATATGAAAAGGCCGTCCGCTTCGTCAATGCGGCTAACAAGACATCGGCCAACGAGGTGGCTGTGAATGAAAAACTGGTCGCCTGTTACAATAACACAGCTGCCTGCGCGCTGAAACTAAGCCGGTGGGCCGAGGCTCGCAATGCTGCCACGCAAGTGCTCGAGATTGAGGAGTCTAACTCCAAGGCCTTGTTTCGCCGCGGTGTTGCCAACCTCAACGCACGCGATCCCGAGTCGGCTGTGGCCGACCTCGCCAGGGCGCAGTCGCTGGACCCAGAGAACGCTGAAATCGCAGCGAAGCTTCAACAGGCAAAGGATGAAGCAAAGGCGCGTACCGCTAAGCTGGCGGCTGGGCTAAAGAAGATGTTCTCGTGAGACAGCCAGATGATTGAATGCTAGCTGTTCACTATTTTTATTTTTGCTATTTGTGTATAAATTGGTTTTTCTTTTCCATTTTGTTATTCTCGGGAATAACTCTGGAGAAGAATGCGGTTACTTGCTGCGACGCAGGTGACGCGTTTTGTGAAGAGAGGGAGATAAAGAGAGGGGGGGGGGCGGAGGACATATGCATGTATGGTTGTAGCTGTGAAGAATCTGTTTGTCTCTTTCTGTTGTTGTTGTGCGGCTGCTCTTGCTGGGTGTCTGTCTGTGTGTGTGTGTGTGTGCATCAGATAGAAATAGAAAAAGAAAAGCGCATGTGTAGAGGCAAGCCAACAAAAATCCTCAAGCATGTCAAACGTCGCCGTGGGTGACGTGGTGGAGGTACTCCTTGCATCATCACCTCTATCAGCTGTGCTTGGAGTTGTCAAGAACCCCAGCTGTGCGGGTGCAGCGCTTGTATCAATAGGTGGCGGCTTTGCGCGGGAAGTACTACCGGTATCGCACGTTGCGGTGCGGCGGTTGTGCGCGGGGAGCTCCGTGGGTCTCGCCGCCGCGGTAGGGGCGCAGGACGAGGCGGCGCAGATTCTGCCGGAGAACACACTGTCGTCGACTTCGCCGACGTCCAGTAAGCGAGGAGGTTTGTCGTCATCCCACAGTACAAGAGTGCCGACTGCTCCAATCAACGCACTTGGGGTGTTCTGTGCCTTGCTCGAGTCATTGTCGTCGTGGCGCTCTCCGGTGGCAACGCTGGGCGTATTATTTTTTGGTCTTCTGGCATTTTTAACCACAAGCACGTGCTCTGCTGTCGTTGCGGTCCTCGGCATCGGCAGCTCCTCGCCGCACTTGCACTCTCTGATGAGCACGCTGACGCTACTGATGAGTCTTGCTGCTCCTGCAGGAAATCGTCCTCCACCTGCAACCGCGTTTGCGCTGCTCGGTACCGTCGCCTTGACGGGCTGCTGTGAGTGGCTGTGCCACCGCGAGGTGCAGTTGTGGTTCGTGGTCGCCGCCACAGTTGCGGCACAGTGTGTGCTGCGCGGTACACAACAACACCCGTGGAGGTTTGCTTCGATTGTCACACGGTGACGTCAGTAGTTCCGTAGTGTTGACGCTTTGCGCATGCTGCCTAATGTTTCAGCTCCCCTTCGCTGTGTAGGCGCTGGAGACGCCTTTCCTTTCCTTTTGACACGCATACATATACACTCGTAGTTTCTGCGTGGATTCACATACACACACTCACACACACGCACACACACATAAATATACACGAAGGAACGAACAAAAAAAAGTAGAACATGAGCAGCAGTCAGTCCATTCAGGTGCCGCCCAACCTGACGCTGGCCATGGTACAGGCGAAGGAAAAGGAGCTGGCGGCGCGCCGCGAAGCTATTCGTGGGCGGCAGCGGTACGTTGCGTCTGAAGTTGAGCCGGATCCCAACTTTCCACCACACTTTTTGTGCATCAAGCCGCAGATATACCACAACATTAGAGAGCAGGTCCCAGTGAATCTACAAAGGTTCATGTATATTTTATGCACTCTGTATATCAGCACGATTTTTCTTATCATCTACAATATCGTATGCGCATTGGTGAATCTTCTACAAGGCGGGAACGCTGTGCATTTTGGGTTTTCATTCCTGTACCTCCTCGGACTCCCTGGTGCCTTCATTGTGTGGTACTACAACGCCTACTGTGCGACTCGGGATGAGTCACGCCCGCGTCAACTGTTAGCATACCTTGGTTTGCTCTTTGGGGTTGGCTTTGACGTGTGGATGGCAATTGGTGTGCCAGGGCTTGGCGGATGCGGCTGGATCATAACACTGGGGCTGACAGGTAAGACTGCCGCATTCGTCATGTTTTTGATTGCCTCCGTTCTGTGGACTCTGCATGGGGTTATTCTATTCTTCATGCTTCTGCACTACTGGCGCTCCTCACCGAGTGGGAAACGCACACAGTATGAGGCCAATGCACTCTAGTTGGCGCTGTTATTCTTCGTTTCGGCTTTTGTTGTTTTTTTTTAGTTTGTGTTGTCGCTGCCGGGCTCGCTCTCTCAGAGCACCTCCTTCGCCGAGCATTCTATTATTATTATTTTCTTCCTTTGAAACTTTTTTTTTTGTTGGCCTCTGCAACTAATTCTTGATACACACACACACACACACACACACACATACAAAAAGGGGAGGGGAGAAGGCACAAGGAAGATGAGCGCACGCACAGGCGATAATCATGGTTCTGGTGATGAGAACCAGTCACATGGCGTCCAGGAGGAGGTACTGCGCGGTGGGAGGCACAAGATTACCATTAGTCACGGCAACAACACATTCTTGAAGTATCAACTGCAGGAATCTCACATGTTTAAGGTCGTCATAGACGGCGACGACGGTGGTGTTGATATGCGTAAGGTGCATGGGCGCATTGAAGTGGCTCTTCGCATGCGAACGCGCTACAAGAAGGTAAACGATCGTGTCGTGATGCCGCAGATGCAGCAACGTGTTACCATTTCTCAAACAAATGGGGTCTACCTGGTTTCTGATCATGAGGTTTCGCCCATGTATTCCCTTCAGCCGTGGGAAACCTTTGCGTCGGATGTGCAGCAACTGCAACTGACTGTTGGCCACACCGCGTGCATCAAGGCCTGCTCGCATCGGCTTAACATCATGCAGGAGCGCTCTAGAATGTTCTTCCTCCTCAATGCCGACATTGAGGAAAAGCACAATTTTCGCAAGGCAGGAGGTGTCTTCTCCAAAGTTACCAAAGTGGATAACTCAGTGTTGCTGTCACGCTCGACTGACGCGCAGGAACTTTTGGACTTCATTGTTGATTGGTACAGTCGCTATCCCGATGCACCGCTGCGACTTCGTAATGGAACGAATTCAACACTCCGGGAGTTGTTTCAGGCGCACGGCGTTGAGGATCCGTCACAGCTGACGGTGGAGGGCCTGGGCTGGCAGCCGAGGCCTGGCAGTGCTGAGAAAGTTGACTTCTCACTTGACCACGAGCCGCTGAGCGCAGAGCTGCGTTACAGCTTTCTCCACTTACGGGGTTCCTGCGCACCGCGATTTTTGCAAAAGAGGCTGCAGCGGGCGGAGCAACGTACACAATACGTGCAGGCAACGGAATACTCTATTCCTCTGTACGCCACGTACTCTAACGAGCTCGCAGATATCGCCACCGTACTGCATAAGTATGGCATCGGGCCCTGTGGACGCAACACATGGATTCTGCAGATTCGCTTCATGCATAACCCACCGGCTGAGGTCAATTACCCTGTGAACTGCAACACAATCCAGGACCAGCTTGATTACATTTTCCTGCCTCTTTTCAAGGCAACACTGTCCCCAACAGGTCGCAAGTACTCTTCCCTCGCTTGGTTTCTGAATCAGGTTGGGGGGTTCCAGATTGAGACGCCAGTGAATGCCTTGGAGGCAGACTTTGACGATAAGGCGCCTATTCCCCGTGAGATAGCTTATGGGACCAAGCCAAACGGTTTGTACTACTTCTACTACATGTATGCCAATTTGACGGTCCTAAACAGTTTGCGGAAGCGCAAGGGACTAAACACATTTCAGTTACGCTTTAGTGGTGGTCATCGAACCAACCTGAACGATCTGTTGGCTGGATATCTTCTTGGAGATGTCATTACACGCGCCACAAAAATCATGGAATATCCTGTCTTGCAGTACTTGTGTGGTTTGCATGGTGTCGGTCTGACTGTGAGTCCTTTACATGATCACATCCAAGGTGTTGTGCAGTACCAGAAGCACCCGCTTCCCAACTTTCTGCACCGTTGTCTCAATGTGGCGATATCCACTGAAGCGCCGCTTCTTTTCCACCACGGTTCGAGTCCTTTATTGGAGGAGTACGCAACAGCAATGAAAATGTTTCGTCTGAGTTTTCTTGATGTTACGGAGCTCGCTCGGAACAGTGTGATGATATCATCCTTCTCTAATGAGCGTAAAAAGGAATGGCTGGGGGAGCAGTACAGTCGGGGCGTCGAAGGTAATGCATTTGAGTTGAGCCAAGTGACAAATGTGCGTCTCGCATTCCGTGAAGAATCGTGGGATTTGGAGCGCAGCATGCTAAAGGATTTGTACATCAATCGGAGCGCGCCACAAGAAAGTGCTGGGCTTGCCCGCTGGCACTACCTTAGTAACGTGAAGGAAGTGGAATACAACACAGTGCTCGACAAGCGGATCCGCTTTCCTCGCACAGTCCTTAATGGGCCACACAAAGAGGTGAAGTCAGCCGTCAGCGCCGCGCCACGCATTGCGCGGGCGCTTGACATGCGCTTCAAGTACATCTGGGAACCTCCTAATCCATGGGAGGTGACGCAGCACCGCACAGTAGAGGCAGACTTCCAGAGGAAGACAGGCAGCTTCAACGAGGACGACTGGACGTACACCGCGAATGACGCCGTATTCATTTCCTTCCCGAAGAACGCAGTGCATGCGTGGCCGAGGCATCTGCCTACCTTAGAAACGTTCCGCAACGATCTGAAAGAGCTACACCAAATTTGCTTAAGCTCTGAGGTGAAAGACTTTGCACATCAACGGCTGGAGAACCTTGAACACAAGTTCCGCCTCCATCTGGCCTTGAACCACGCCAACGAGGCAGGAACGACAGAGGATCGTGTCTCATCGAACCGTGATATTTATCAGGCGGTAAAGGTTGATACGCACATTCATATGGCAGCCGGTATGACAGGACGGCAACTGCTGAGCTTTATGGTAAAAAAGCTCATGTACAGCGGTGACGACATTGCGCTTAAGAAGGGAGATGTGATTCATACTCTAGGGGATTTCTTCAAAAAGAATGGCATCACAAAAAATTTGACAGTTGATCAATTGAACGTACAAGCGGATCATACCTTATTTGAGCGATTTGACAACTTCAATAACAAGTACAATCCAATGGAGAACCCAGGTTTGCGTTCTTTACTGTTGAAGACGGATAACTTTATGAAAGGTCGTTACTTTGCTGAGTTAATTCATGATGTATTTGAGCAGTACTCTAGGGACCGTCACACATACGCTGAAAACCGTGTGTCTATTTATGGTATCAATCTCAATGAGTGGGACAACCTTGCAGTTTGGTTCGCCACACACGGTATGTCATCAAAGCACAACAAGTGGGTTATTCAGGTCCCACGTGTGTACAAGGTTTTCCGCGCACAGAATGTCATTGGGAGCTTTGGGCAGTACCTGCAGAACATTTTCCAACCCCTCTGGGAAGCATCTCTGCACCCCTCCGAGCATCCACTTGTCCATTACTTCTTAAACCACATGAGTGGCTTCGATTCTGTTGACAATGAGGCGACACTAGACCTGCCGTTTGTGCCAGTCTCGCCATGGGCGTGGACGTCTGTTGAGAATCCGCCGTACAACTACTATTTATACTATTTGTATGCGAACATTCGCACACTCAACGAGTTTAGGGCGTCGCGAGGATTCTCAACGTTTGCATTGCGTCCTCATTGTGGCGAGTCCGGTTCGGCCGAGCACCTCTACGGTGCATTCCTCTGTGCCAACAGCATTTGTCACGGCATAAACCTCCGCAACGATCCTCCGATGCAGTATCTGTATTACCTCTCTCAAATTGGCTTGCACGTCTCACCGCTAAGCAACAATGCACTATTTCTGCGCTTTCTCAACAATCCATTTCCGGAGTTCTTCCGCCGTGGGCTTAACGTCTCACTGAGCACAGACGACCCGCTAATGTTTCACCAGACGCAGGAGCCGTTGATTGAAGAGTACAGTATTGCGGCGCGTGTGTGGGGTCTCTCCCCAAATGATCTCTGCGAGATCGCACGTAACTCTGTGCTGCACTGTGGGTTTGATCACATGTTCAAGCGCGAGGCGATTGGTGGTCATTGGTACATGAGCTCCTCCCTCGGGAATGATCCGCTGCGCACGCATCTCTCCGACATCCGTGTAGCTTTCCGATTCGAGACATACCACACAGAGATGCAGAACCTTGAGTTGTGCTCTGGCCGTCCCATCAAGCGCTGCATGCTCACGACTGATCAGGAGGAGGATATCCACGAGAAGAACCTGGACGTGGGCACCGAGGAGGTGATCCTGTCAACGCACGACCAGGCGATGGAAGTGATGCTGCGGGAAATTGAGACGAAGCGAGAACAGCTCCGCGTGTCGCGGGTGCAGGTGGATGCCCTACGTAGGCAGCAGAAGTCGCTGGTGGACAATCTGACGGAGGTCGGCATCCGCCGGCAAGAGGCGCAGGAGCAGGCGGAGCGTGCCAACTGTAACGAGACGTTGCGCTACGAGCGCCATCTCCCCAAGCCGCCCGATGCAGCGTTTGTGACGTCGGAGCGGCAGACGGTGCAGCGGCTCTTGCGGTGGCGCCCGATGCCGGCACAGGTGCTGCACCACGTGACGGAGTCACGCGTGCCGCTGCGCGCGTCGCGCACACTTCCCAGTTTGGCGCTTCCCACCAACAGCTTGTGGAACACAATGTAACCTATGACATGAAGAAGTACTGGAACAATTGAATGTTGAGAAGAGAGGGTTTCTCTTGCTTTGTTTTGTTTTTTTGCTGCTGTTGTTGTTGTTGTTTGGTGCTTCAGAATGCATTTGTTGTGATGTAATCTTTTCTTTGGTTGTCGATGTTGCTTCGTTGCTCTCACCCATTCAGTTTGCCCCGCACATACGCACAATAAAAAAAAACAGTTTCGTTCCCTTTCTCTCTCATCTATCGGGTTTTCTCGGGGAGTTCCAGTGAAGTAATAGGGAAAGAGCTTATACGCGCACGTAACAAAAGAAATGGAAACTGGGATTGATCCACTTGATGCCACGCTGGCTGGCAACGGCTGGATATGCCCTGTCTGCATGGTAGAAGTTTCCAAGCGCTGCACCTTCTGTCAGGTGTGTCTGCGCTCACGACCGATGGACCGTCGCGGCGTGCCGCAGATCTTCGCCGGGTACAAGATTCACTTTAACGGCGTTATTCCTCGTACCATTAAGCACCCAAGCCACTCAGTGGAATGGCGCATGGCGGAACGTCACGGAGCGACGTGCATGGTGCAGTTCGATCTCTCACAGGTGAATCTGTTGGTGTTTCGGCCAGGTTATGAGCGCAGCGACAAGGTGCGGAAGTGTGTGGAGGGTGATGACCCCCGCACTCCTGCAGTCCCAATCACGTGGATGCTTGACTGTCTGTTGCAGTCACGTCAGATTCATACCGCGCTGTACCGCATCTGTGCAATTCCGGCGGTGGCGCAGCCAACAGGGAAGGGACCAGTTCTTCCGCACCATAAGCACCCCTTCTACCTCATGAACATGGAGGAGTACGCTATTCCTACCTCGTTCCCTCCCGAGAAGAAGCCGCGGAAGTCTTCAGCTACCTCTGCAATGAACATACCACCCAGCACGGATGCAAACTTCCCACCATTTTTTGATGTGCAGGATTTTCAATACACAAACGTTGACATATTCCAAGCGGTGTGTACCACAGCGAACGCAACGGGAGTTCTAGTGGACGAACAGGACGACTACGGTGAGGCTCGTGAGACACGAAAGCGCACAGCTAATATTGAAATTCTTAACTGTGAACAGCGCCACAATCGTGTGGACAAAATGCTGTTCAGTGGCATGAAGTTTCTTCTCACTCCATCGCTCGAGTCGGACGAAGTAGTGATATCGGCACTCAAGGCGTGCGGTGCCCAAGTCATCCGTCCATCGGAGGGCAGCCTTGTGAACTTGCTGAGGACAACCGTGACGCATGTGCTCTACAGCTATAGCGAAAAGAAGAGCAACGTCATGATCGAGGCGGCGCAGGCCAAGAAGGTGGTTCCCGGTCTCACTCTGGCACAGGCCAACTGGGCGGAGGACTGCCTGATGCTCGGCGAAGTCATTCCCGCGTACGGGGAGTACGTCCCGACGGCGAAGCTGATGGAGACGCTCTCGAAAAAATACGATCGTCGTTGATAGCAATGAACCCTGCTCATGCGTTTCTTTTTTTTTTGTTTGTTTGTTTGGAGGGGAAGGGGTGTGCGTGCGCATACACAATGAAGGAAAAAGAGCCTGGCACAACAGAAGTATCGGGTGTAGAAAGATGTGAGCCAGAAAGATTCATTTTTGGTCGCGTTTGTGTTTCAGCTCCCCGGCATATGCGTTTGGAGTAACTGTCCAAACCAATGGTAGAAATATCATCTTTCTTCCATCGTTGTTTTCTGTTTCATGTTCTATTTGTTTTGCGTGTTTTTTTTTGTTTTCCTTCGCGGATTGTTGGTAGAGGGGCAGAAACGCATATGTGTCTGTGTGTGGAGAGAGAGAGAGAGAGAGAACGAGAAAGAAGTGGCTGGACGAAGCGGGTCTCGACAATTTTTTTTGGATTGACTGTCGTACCCACAACATGGTCTGTCGAAAAGAAAAAAAGAGGAAAAGGCACACAAACGGAAGTCAAGCAAGGGCGGTGAAAAGGAGGAAAGAGTGATGGGTCGCTGGCAAGAAAAAAAAAATGCCGACTTTGGTTGTGTAAATTCTCTTCCCTCGGTGCTTAATGGGGAAACGCTCGTGCGTCTGTCTGTATCTGTCTGTCTATATGTGCTTGAGAGCGTGAAAGACAAATGATGAGAGAGATGCGCTTAGGAGGGGTCCCCTAAGCCTGGGGTGGAGTGGGTCCACATTTCCCACTTACCTTTGAATGAACAGACTTCCCCTTCCACAGTACACTCTCTAGCATTGCAATATCCACAAGAAGGAGGGGTACACAATTCCTTTTCCTGTTTTTACCCGTCTTCCTTGGGTTGTCCATGTGAGGAACGAGAATGTGACGCAAAACAGTAGGGGGTGTGATTGATATGGTTTACGGTGATGTTTCTTCGCTCTGCTGCTTTCGCTATCCTCACTTCTCTTGTCTCGTGTTCGTTCTCAGGTGGGTGCAGGTGATAGTAGAACATGCGACGGGCAGTCACTGTGTCTTTAATCGCCATTGTGTGTGTGCTGCTGGGGTGTGTCTCCGCGGAAGATTGCGAGCTGGCAGCACATATGCGTGAGTATGAAATTGAGGTGTTCAAGGGCCTCCGACAAACAGATGGCGGACGGGTGTCCACTCGTCCGGGGTGCATCACGATGCACACGAGCTACTGGAACTACGAGGTGTGCCCTGGCCGGTGGATTCGGCAGTACCGCAAAGATCAGGATGCAATTGCGGAAGAGCACATTCTAGGCGTGCAGCATCGGTGGAACCTCATGGACGAGGTGGGCTCCAGGGTGCTGCAATACCACGACGGGCCACAGACTCTACCGGAACGGTTGAAGGCGGCAGGCACAACAAATGATCCAGCAACAACAGAGTACACATGCACCAGCAGTGGGGCATCTCAGAATAGAAGGCAGGTTGATGAGGTGTATTTGGAGGGATCGCCGTGTGGGCCGGGTTTTCGCCGCACCGTCATTCTACACCTTGTGTGTGAAGAGGAAGCACATGTTCCAATTATAGAACTGGCTGAGCCATTCTTGTGCAACTACGACATCACCATGATGTCAAGGGCTATATGCGACGCAATGTACGGGCGAGTCCCAGCTTACACCGAGTTGTCGGACGCGGATATGAAGTTCGCACTGTAGCAGGGACAGGCGGAAGGACATCTGTTGTGGTTTTTATCTACTTACTCGCCACACCTTTGTGTGGCTGTCAGTTTTGTGGCTCTATCCGATCATTCATCTGTGTGTGAGTGAGTCCGTGTGCGTGTGTTTTGTCAAAGTTTGTTTTCCTCTTATTATTATTATTATTATTATTTGTTGTTGTTTGGTGTTGCTGTTGTTGTTTTGGTTTTGGGTATCTCTTTCTTGTCTCAAATCATTGCTGGTGTTGTTTTCTCTTTGTTTTCTTGGATTACTGTCAAGTTGACTATCTATGTTCCTTTTAATGGTATTTGCGCTGCTGATTGCAGTGGCCATTGCAGTGACGCCGGCTGCTCAGGCCTTCCGCATGAAGCTTGCCTCATACGCCTATGGACTACAGTTCATGCTTGTGGCGAACGATCTTCCAAAGCAATTCAAGGGCAGTAACTACATACGAATGCAAGCGCCGGCAACACAGGGATCTACGCGTGTTGTTCGTGTAGTTTTCATTCGGCATGGTCAATCTGTGTGGAACTCTTTGTTTAACACATTCGGCGCCTCATGGCCGCTACGTCTGGCGAAGTCGGTGGTTCGTGAGGCCGTGTACTTCGTCAAGGATCCATTCAACTCGGATATCATTGACTCCCCATTGAGCTCCAAGGGTAACTCCGAAGTGCAGGAACTAGCTCAGTTCATACGTACCGCAAAGGGAAAAATATCCTATGACTCTAACACGTCCGTTGTTGTGTGCAGCAACTTACGCCGGGCGATGGAAACGGCAGTCATTGGTCTAGGACCACGCATCACCTCTACACAGGAAAAAATATTGATCGATTCGGCGCTGCAGGAGGGGTCCCGTAATATCGACGCACAATCACTTTCCACGGAGCCTGGGAAGATAATCCCTTGTAAAATAGGCAAGTACAATACTCCAGAGCTACTCGGTGCCGTCTTCGATACTCGTCTGAACGCTGGCAACCGGACCTCGCAGGTCAACGTCTACGAGCGGATGGATCAATTTGTCCTGCATCTTTTCGGTGGGTCGCCGTTGGGCGTGTACGTACCAGCCTCCTCCTCAGCACGTGGCAACGCTGAACTGAAGGAAGTCATCGTGGTGGGGCACAGTGGCTATTTCATGCGCTTTTTCCGTCGATTTCTACCGTCATCGTCCCAACATATAGCCGCTAAAAAGAAGTTGAAGAATTGTGGAGTCGTCGCATTTGATCTTGTGCGCAATGAATCTACAAACGAGATTGTCATCGATGAGTCATCCATCGCCGTGCTACACAAAGGTTTCTGAAGCTTATGGATGTTGTATCGGAATAAGATTAAAGGGTATTCCCTCTTTCAGACCTATCTTACTCCCACCCGTTTGGGGGAAGCAGCTTACTGTAGTTTGTCTGTTGCGCTTCTGCTGTAGAATATAGAGGGGGGGGTGTGAGGGAGAAAGGAAGGAATAAATACAAAGCAGTCCTACTTTTGGTGCAACTGTGATTATGCTCCGTCGAAATGGGCGTTTCCGGATTTCGTGGCTCTCTCATGTCTGCTGCTGCCGCAGCTTTCACACTATGCAGGAGGCACTGACCGAAGAGGAGCGTCACCGCTTGGAGCAGGAACTACCGCCGCGGGAACTCTTGACAAATCTACGTTCAAAGGACTACTCTCCAACAGACGATAGTGAAAAGGATGTGAATGTGCCCGGTGACTCCTTTGGCATCATGCGCAATCGAGTGGCCTTCTACAAGCCGGTTGCGCGAGATGTGTACGCTGGAGAACTCGGCGAATTATTCCAAGAGGGGTGTCACCCGCTGCGCTGCGTCAACGCGTCCACGTTGCGGCGCCTTTGTGGGCGGTACGGCGTAAGCCTAAAGGAGGCAGCTACGGCGATGCTGGAGGCAGAGCTTGACATTAACGTGGCGGTTAACAATCTTGCAATTCGCAAGGGTATCAAGACATCTTTCGGTAGTTTCGGTTTGGTGGGTTTCGAGGCGTACGCATCGGAGACGTTCTGTATGGTGAAATTCAGTCTCCCATCATTCGAAGCCACGCGGAATGATGACGTGCTGGATGCTATCCATGAGTTGACACTCTCAGCTGCGGAGATTCCGCTTGACGTGCCACAGGGGGAGCTCGTGGATAAGTTTGTCAACCACTGGACCATCGAAGACGGCACGAAATGCAGGGACGTGCTGGATGCTTTCGACATCGCTGTTCAAAGCATTGTGATGCTGCCGTACGGGGACTACAGCGCACAGGGCTTCCACGTGCTCCATCCCGTGAAGGAGGATACACCAAATATCGGGACGGGGGCAGCCGCATGCTGCATGGATCTTCGCACAGGCATACACAATCGGTTCCGGTTTCACGTGGAGCGCGTTGCGGACTCAGTGAGCGAGCACGTTTTACGTGAGTTGGTGCATTATGGGCAGTCTGTCCATATTATGCGGCAGGCATATTGGTTCAGACCGGAGTACAGTGTTGAGGAGTACATCCGCTTCAAGGAGTCGCTGCTGCAGCCTAGTGCATCTATATTTGAAATGCGCTACGCGGTGCTAACGGCGGGCCCCTATGGCCTTGAAGGCTACCGTAATCTTGTCGAGGTGGAGAAGCTGAAGGTGGCGCAGCACAAGTATGAGAAACATTACGAAGACTTCACGTCGCCTGGCAAGTGGCTGACCAGTGATAACGCTCAGTTGCAAACGGTGGCGGCGGGCGGTGGCCAGGCACCCGGTGCAATCATGCACATGCACACGAACAGCCCGGGCACGGCAGAAACGGCGATGGAGACAAGAGCGGGACCACTCCGCCGTGTGCTGGAAAATTCCATTCAATCTCAGGGAGACCGCGTGTTCAGCCGCTTCTATCGCAATAACTACCACTAAACACGGCAAAAGGGACATGTAGCACAGCCTTCGGATGAGAGCAATCCCCCCAACTAATACCCTTTACCTGTCAGGGTTATTCTCCTCCTGTTTTATCGTTTCTGTATCGCCCAGCTGTTTGCTTTCACACTATTTCCATTTTTGTTGTTGTTATTGTTTCTTGTCCCATTAGAATAGTGAGGGAAGTGAGGAAATGGGTTGCGGCTGGTCAAGTGATGCGCAAGCCGCTCTTGCGCGGCATGAGTTTAATTACATGGATGATATGAAGAGGGACCGTCCAGAGACTCCGGTGGCCGCGGCTGTGCAGCTGGACGTGAGGAACAGGCGTGGAAAAGGGAAGGACATTATTGCTGTTGCCACTGCAAACCCCACCTCTGTTTCCTACACCGATTATCACGGTCTCACCGTGGTCATGGCAAATGCAACACTGGGCAAAGTGAACACCGTATGTCGTTGGGCTGACGCGGTACTTGAAATTAGGGAGCAGAATGGTGGCTATTTCGTCGACCCGCGCAGCGACAGCACCTCCACAGCTCGTTGGGAAGGCAGCTTCTACGGCGACCCAGCGATCTCGACGGTTTCCCCAGAGAGTTATTCTTCGGCGCCAAATCGACTCAATGTAAGTATGTATTACACAGGGCCAGTGACGTCGAGCCGGCAGTTTGATAAGTCACAGACGTCGAGATATTTTGACAAATCACACTCTTCTATGAGGCACACGGAAAAGTCTCAAGCGTCAAAAAGGCTGTTTGAAAAAACACCGACAAGAGAAAATTTGGAGATAGAGGAAGAAACACTACAGACGGAAGAGCTTTCAGGAAAGGAAGAGACGTCACCAACTGGTGAAGAATCGCGACAGATAACTCAAACCCCAAGAAGGCACTTTGTCGAATAATTACCGGGAGGAGCCAGAGCCATCGCAAGCACATAATGGATGCAGCAGGAATTTAAAAAGTGATATCATCGGTGCCCCCCCACCCCACTTTTCCTCACTCCTGTGTATCACAGAAGTATGGGAAAGTCGTGTTTTTGATTGCACGAGCAAAACGGGGTGGATAAGAAAAGATACTGCAGATCTTCATTCCAGCTTAAAGGGGGCCCTTTTTAACAGTTGCGTGGCGCGATAATCACCGTCAAGTGGATGACTAGAAATTTCTTTGTATTTCCTGCCTGCTTGTCAATCTCTCTCCTTCCTTTGTGTGTGAAAGGATCTGCCTGTCACTCGTACCTCTACTTGCTTTTTGATCGAAACGCCTTTTTTTATTTTTCGTTCCTTTGTTCGTTGCGGCAACTGCATACCTTTGTTGCTCTGTTTGTTCCTCGACGTTCACATGTGGATTGTATGAACGGAAAATAAAAATAATCTTTTCTGCTTCTCTTTCGGTTTTTTTTTTTTTGAGTGGCTCCAGCATTCCATTCAGTCTTTTTTTTTCGGATCCTCTGAAACTCCTCTTGTGTTTCGGTGCGTTCCGTAGATGCGGGCATGTCCACACAAAGCCTCTCTCCAACGTTGTTCTTTTCTTCTCACGCTTGTCGTGTTTGTTTTCTCTCTCCCTTTTTGCTCCTCGGTGTGCGCTGCGAGTCAACCAAATTTCCAGAAATATTTCCTAGCCGTCTAGAGCCAAACTCTAAAGCCCAACAACCGGTCAGCAGCCACTGCCGCAATGAGCCGCGCAGGATTCGACAAGTATATCACGGTGTTCAGCCCGGAGGGGTCGCTGTATCAGGTCGAGTATGCCTTCAAGGCTGTGACGTACGCGGGTCTTCTCACGGTGGCTATCCGCTGCAAGGACGCTGTCCTCGTCTTCACGCAGCACAACGTCCCGGACAGGTTGATGCGCCCCGAGACCATTGCCTCGCTCTATAACATCAACGATGAAATTGGCGCCTGCGTCACAGGACGCGCCCCTGATGGAAAGGCGTTGGTGCAGAAGGCCCGCCAAGAGGCATCCGAGTACAAGTACCACTACGGTGTGTCCGTTCCCGTTAGCGTGCTCGCCAAGCGCATGGCGGACAAGGCGCAGGTGCGGACGCAACAGGCGGGTTTGCGCCTGATGGGCGTCACGATGACATTCCTCGGCATGGAGCAGAGGGACGAGGACGGCACGTGGCTGCCGCAGATCTACTGTGTGGATCCCGCGGGGTGGTGCGGCAGCTTCCACGCCTGTGCCATCGGCAAGAAACAGATTGAAGCCAACGCGTTCCTTGAAAAGAAACAGAAGAATGAACCCTTCCATACACTCTCCCAGAAGGACGCTGCCATGATTGCGCTTGCGGCACTGCAGAGTGCCCTTGGTGAGTCCCTGAAGGCCACAGATTTGGAAGTGGGACGATGCAGTATGGCCAAGCACAACTTCTGTCGTGTCCCTGATCAAGAAGTGGAGGAATGGCTGACGGCTCTGTCAGAGGCGGACTGAGTTTAGGTGCGTCTGTGTCTATGTGTGTGAAAGGAAAAGAAGGAAATAAAGAGAAGGAATGCTTGTTTGCTTCTGGGTTGCTTCCTCTATGCATGGGGCTTACAGGTACACACGCAGACACACAACGACCTATTATAGCAACAGCACGATGTGTTTCCCGCTCCAAGTATAACACGGCGAAAGAAGAGCGCCTCAGCCTGTTTTACAGCGTTGCGCGTGACTGAGTACAATACTTTTGAAGCTTCATTCCTCTTTCGTTTCTCCTCCTACCCCTTTCTTGGTGCTATGTTGAAAGTAGTTAAAAAGAATATAGGGTCTTCTTGTACATCTGAACACTTCCACGCCGTTTCAAGATGTTGATGGAGTGGCTTCGAGGGAAGCCGGCTGATGAATCTGCCGCACCGCAAAAGCCGCCGCAGCGGAAGACGCTAGACTTGGACCCCGAAACGCCGCTCGAGCCCTCGCCAGCGGAGGCCATCGCGCTGCGCGAGGACGCGTTCCGTAAGAAGCTGGCTGCTAGCGCCAAGGAGGGCCCAGCGTCACCCGCCAAGCTGGTGTCATACGACACCATGTTTCGTAGGGCGCAGCGATTGCTGATTGAGGGGAACGCATCAGAAATACAAGAGGGACTCACGATGAACTTGTCGCGTCACGCACAGAACGTCATGATATCCTCCAAATTTGCTCTTGTCTCCCCACAGATGTCACACTGGGAAGTGGGCCTCCAAATGAACGGTTTCTCCGATATTGTAGTGGCTACATACAACACATTGAGCCGCTGGACGCTGATGTACCAGCGTGTGAGCTCCACGGGGGCGCTGCTGCTTGCCCAGTGCATGGCGCAGCGGCAGCAGGGCATGACACAAGGCACGGTTGTGGGCATGCTGCAGTACCCATGGGTCTTCGGTGGTTGTACGCAGCTGCAGTACGTGAAGGGCCAAGTGCTCTCATTGAGTCACACGCAGCGTATCATTCGGGGAGTGCATGTGGGGTCCAATTTATCGTGGGACCCCAACACAAAGGGAACGGCCCTCTCCTATGCGGCCTCCGCCACGAACCCAGCGAAGACGGGAATGCTGGCTGCGGAGTGGCACCCCAGCAAGGGTGAGTGGAAACTTGCGCTGACACGGAGCGACTGGGCACACGACGCAGAGTTTGCGATGCAGCTGGAATACGCCAACAAGGGGGAAAGTATGTTGAGCCTGCTGAGCTTCGGTCTGCGGAAGCAGTTTGTCGGTGGTGGCGCGATGAGTGCCGCCCTTTGCGGCTTCTCTAAGCTGAAAGCAATAGTGGAGTTGCCCTTTGGCGGTGAGCGGCGTGGGTTCAACCAGCTACACTGCCTCTACAACGCTCAGTATGACATCAACTCTGGTTCGCTGAAGCACGGGCTAGTTTTCACCGCCTAGACTGCTTTTTGTGCCCATCTGGGTGCCTCAGCACACATTCACGTAACTGGCAAGGTTCACCCACACGCACTGGACCTAAGGGTTGCCCGTGCATTGTTCCTTATTTTCACAGAAAGAATAGGAGGAGTCGGTGTAATACTAAGCCACGAGGGGAAAAAAAGGAAACATGATAAGACGAAAGAAGAAAAAAAAAATGAAGGGAATACGAGATATTGATACGAGAATTATCCCCACCATCACCATCACAACCACCACCAACAAAAAAAANAGAAAAAAAAAATGAAGGGAATACGAGATATTGATACGAGAATTATCCCCACCATCACCATCACAACCACCACCAACAAAAAAAAAATCAAGAACACTATTGGAGGAGCATGCAAGAGGAGCGCCTCTCTTCTACTTCGGCCAAAGAGGAGTGGAATGCTGAAGGAGTGTCCAAATAGGCCCAAGTGTTAGCTTGGTTTCTTTAATTTGCCCTTCGCCGGGCCGGGTGTGAACTTAATGCGGCAATCAGTAAGCCACAGGAATACCGTCAGCACAACAATAAAACGAAGGCTGTTCTTCTTTCTGCGAATTGTTGTGCTTCCGTGTCTCCCCCTCCGTGTGTGTGTGTGTGGTGTGTGATGTGTGGTGTGTGTGTGTGTGTGTGTGTGTGTGCACGCGCGCAAAGGGAGAGTGTGCATGCGGCAGTGCCGGAACTTCAGGAGCTCATCAAAGATGATTGCACTTTCTTTTCATCTCTTCTTTATTACTTGTTTGTTTTGTCGGTTTTATTCGTCTTCGTTCGAGCAGGAGGAATTAGAAGATGCTCCGAAAGCACAGCGAAGGCGACGCGCACTATAAGATGTGCAAGAAGATCGCCCAGCTGACGAAGGTGATCTACCAGTTGAACACACAGAACGAAGACTACGATGCGCGGACCGTCGCGATGCGTGGGCGGCACGAGGCGGAGGTGCGCACACTCTGCAGTGAGGCCGACAGACGTGTAGAGGAGATTCGAAACGCTTTCCACAACGCGGAGCAGAAGCGCCTTGACGCCGTCGAGGCGGTGCAGCAGCAGTGCAAGGCGCAGCTCGCTGCGGTGAAGGATGTGTACGCACAAAAGACTGAGTCGGTAATGAAAGAGCTCTCGGCTAGCAGGGCGCGCTTCGACACAACCATTGCGGAGGTGAAGGCGTCGTATGCGGCGAGAGCGGAGGCGGAGGCAGCGCAGCGCAGCGCGGCGAAGGACGCAGAGACAGCCAACTTAGTGCTGGAGTACAACGAGCGCTACAAGGCAATGCTGGCGGAGCAGATGGATGCGAGAGACGCATTGTCGGAGCAACTACGAGAGCTGCAGTCGCAGCTTGACGCTGCCGCCATATCGCACGCCGCTGAACTACAGCAGTGGGCTGAAAAGCAGCGCGAGGCGGAGGCAGCAGCAGCACGCACCGCCGCGGAGCTAGCGCAGTGGCAGGAGAAGAGCAGCGACCAGGAAGCTGAGGCACGGCGTCTGCAAGAGGCCTGTAACGCCCTGCAGAGCCGTCTCGAGGCGGAGAGTAATTCGCTCGGTTCCTACCACAACTTAGAGGCGGTGCTTCGGCAGGAGAAGGATGAGCTGCAACGACAATTGAGTGAAATGCGACAGGAAGGGGAAGAAATGCAGCGACAACTGAGTGAAGTACGGCAGGAGCGTGAGAAGTTTGAGCGCATGATGAACGAAAAGGTGGCAGAGCTCGCGAGGGTTGAGTCAGACGTGACAGATCTGGAAAACCAGCGGAGCTTGCTGGAGGCACAGTGCAACGGTCTCACACACGAACTCCAGGTCGCGTCAGAGAAGAATCTAGAGCTGAATAGTCAAGTGGCGACGCTTGAAGGTCGTATTTCGGAGCTGCAGCAGGCGTTGCGACGCACGGAAGAAAACGGTGCTCAGAAGCAGCAGGCGGAAAACTCACTCCAGAAACGCTGTGAGGAGCTGCAGCGCCAGGCAGACGCACTCGTGCAGAAGCATCAGGAAGAGCTTGCAGAATTGCGATCGGCGCATGAAGAGGCCCTATCCAAGATGCGCTTGGCGTCACAGCAGTCAAGCGACATGTTAGTGACTCGCCTTCGGCAAGAGAAGGAGGAGCTGGCGCGACGGCACACCACAGAAATGGAGGAGCAGCAGCACCACCATAAGGCGCAGATGGAACAACTGGCGCAGCAGCACGAGGCGGCGCTGAAAGATCTTTGTGATCAGTTGGCGGGTGCTAGGTCTGTCGAGGAGGGGTTGCGCACGGCCGTTGCGCAG